TGGCGGACACGAGAACTGGCAGATTGCTGCTGATAATGAGGTTAATGTCGCAATTCCTCTCAAGAGTGATATTTAAGTAGTATTTCGGATTTACGGAGTCGCAGTAGCTCCAGCTCCTGCCTTTTTATTTTTTTTATTTTTTTGCCTTGGGCATATATATATCTTTCGACTAGAGCAATTATGTTTGAAGCAACATCAGATACTAAATACTAGCTCCAGTTTCTAATATGATAATTCATTTGATTTTTATTATAATTCTAAATATAATAACCTAATTCACTTTGTCTTTTATATTTATGCATTTTTTTTAAAAATAATTCTTATAATAATGATAATTCTAGCCAATATATTTAATTGGTAAAGATATTTTGAAAAAAAACTATTTATTATAAATAACTAAAATAAATAATTTTTTAAATTTGCTTAAATTAGTTAACTAGCTCTTATATTAAAGATTAGAGGTAATGACATTTTGATATCTTATGAGTAAAAAAAATAGTACAATTTTGAATTTCTTTTCAATTTTTCAGAGGAAAAAAACTCAAATTGTGTAGTTTCTTTTTAATTTTGATAAAATTTTTTTGAAAATATAATTTCTTTATTGTAATTTGAAAATATAATAAATATCATTTATGTTAATTTTTTTTATTTAAGAGCATATATTATTTAAGAAAAATCGAACGGGCCACAAAGCCTGCGGTGAGGAGAGAGAAAGAAATAGTGATGAAGATTTCTGATGAGGCTCGACTTCAACTTCCGAAGCGTTCATTCTAAGTTGGGCCGAGCCTAATGTTAATGGTTTGGGGATCCATTTGCACGGTCGCTGTGCTACCGGATTTGGCAAAAAAAAAAAAAAAGTTACTCGCGGATTATAAATAAATAAAGATGAGTTCCCTAAATTTTATTTAATATTAATAGGTCATAAGAAATTCAATATTTAACAATCGAGTTGTCCTAAATAATACTCTTCCGATTATTATTTAAAAATCAAATTTGATAATTTTATATTTATAAGTAAAGCTTTTATATTCGTAAGTCAAGCGGTGTTGTTAACAAGTTAAACTTGTAAATATTAATGCCTTCAAATCTATTAGTACTCCCTCCGTTTTTTATTATAAGAGACAAATAATCAAATTACGTTGATAAAAAAACAGTTAAAATTAGTTGAGAACAATTAATTTGTAAAAAGTATAATGTTTTTTTTCCAACAATGCCCTCATTAATAAGGAGAGAGAGTATGAGAGAGAATAATTAAATTATTAAAAGAAAGAGAAGTGGGAGGGAGAGAGAATATGAGTTGGAGACAAAATAAATAGGGCTAAAATAGGAAATCAATACAAAAAATTAGAGACAACTTTTAAGTGTCTTTTATATATAGGAACATGCCAAAAGTATCAAATGTCTCTTATAATAAGGAACGGAGGGAGTAATAAATAAATTTTAGGAGACCTATATGTATATAAAAGAGTGAAGGAATATATGCTTCCTGATAGTGGGGGGGGGGGATTCGGCAACTAGTTATTATAAGTTTGCGGAAAATTGCATAATAAGATGGGGCATGTGAACCCCTCAATGCTATGGAATATATATAAATATATATATATATTTATTTATATATATCATTTAAGCATAAAGAATATAGAGATAATGTCAATTCAATCGACATGTAACCATTGTTTATTTTTGGCCACAACAATCTCAATCAATTAGCCGAAAGTATATGAAAGAAATATGCCACACTATGCGCTGTTGGTTTGGGTTTACGTACACAATCTTTTTTTATTAAATGCCAATAATTTGATTTTCTTTAATTCTCACAGATTTAGGTTATTGATTGATATTGATAAGGTTCAATTAGTCTATATAATTTTCCCATATATTAATTAATGAATTTGAAATTTAAAAATATGGGAAATTATATGTAAATCTGATCTATAGTAGAAGTTTTAGAGAGACAAATGACATATTTTAACAAAAATAACTAATTACATTCAAAATCTGAAAATTAGGTATTCACTGAGGGGAACTTGGGGAATAACCTTAGATAACTTTTGAACAGAATAGATACTTTCAAAATTTGAATAAGGAAATATATGGACTATTTTTTTTAATAATATTTTTTTGGCAAATTATTTTGAAATAATATCAAATTAGAAAAATCATCCAAAATGAATGATATGATTGATATCTGGGTGGGGGAATAAAATGAGCGAGAGGCCTTTGTCTCTTTGAATATCGATATCATAAATGTAGAAACTACAACTTTTGTTGACTTCACCCCGTGCAATACTTGAGAGAGCTATAAAGTAAATCTTTTGACGCCTGTGAGCGCGCATTTTTTCCCTTTAATGTGAAATTTGTAAAAACAGACACATAACATCTAAAATATAAATCATAACTTTTAAATAAGAAATAAAAAAATTACATCACAAAACAAATACTATCTTTAAAGTTTGATAATTCATATTTAAATTCTTATTTCACATCATGGTGAATTAAAGTTTAAATCTCCAATAAAAGATGTGCTTATATTTAGTGTTTGGTAATTCCTTGAATAGGCAATTTGCCTTCATTTGGTGAATGGCTATGCCTAGGTTAAAAAAATTTATTATCATTATGTAATTAAAAATTACTTACACTAAATAAATAGAATTTATTTCTAAAAGAACAGAAAATTATATCATAAAATTACAGTGCAAATTTGCACCAATAATTTTAATGATTTTTATTTTTCTAAAATTGAATTTATTTAATATTAAAACATTAAAGAAAACGAAAAAAAAGGATGCCCTCATCCCTCTGGGGAAGGCTCTGGCCTCAAAAGCCCTAATTATCATTTAAAATTTAAAGCCAATTATTAAAGCCCTTAAAGAAAGACCTGACTCATGTCTGAACTCTAACCATGAAACGTAAATTGAAAATTGAATTGATAAGCCGTAACAATTACAATACAGGAAGAATAATTACAACACAAGAAAATAATTGGGAAATATCATGTTTGACCTAAATCTGATGCATAGGATCTAACTGAGTGATGGCTATGGCTAATGCAACCGGGAACAAATCAAATACAGCCCCTATTGTTAATATTTTATAAGCGACTAACATATGCATATACGCTTCTTTGGTTCTTAATATGGAACCTAATTTAAGAGTTAATGTTGGTTTTATTATATGTAATATCTATTTCATATATTTATCAATTTTTTAAATCAACGCTATTTATATTCTCTGAACAATAATCAAATAGGAGAAGAAGGGAGAAAATTAAGGAAGATGATTAGAGTATTTAAAAAATATCATATTAACTTATTTAACTAACATTCTTAGTTTACTCAAATTATTTAATTAGATCTTACATTATGGATCAGATGAGTAAATGGAGATTTTTTTTTACTACCTGCCGTCTTTAATACAAGAATTAGTTGACTAATCTAAGTATATTAAAAAAATTAGTTAAGTTAGTTATTTGTAATAAATATGTGTTGTCTTCCTTAAAATACGCTTACTAATTATGTGTATTAGCTAAAATTATCATTTGAGAAAACATTTAACATGTTTAACTACTACAAGAATTATATTGGGAAAAAAAAAGGTAAATATGAGAGATAAAGTGAATTGGGATGTTATATTTAAGACTAAATTGAAGGTCAAACTAACTCTAATATTAAAGATTAGAAGTAATGTTTCACATTTAAAACCCTTGAACTACTAGCCACCGCGACTAATTTAAATTAAGATTTTGGCCGGTGGTCAAGCGGACAAATCTTTCTTTAAAGGAGTTCTGTCTAAGACTATAACCCTTCATAGTACATACTACCTCTTGTCCTAATTATAAAAATTCATTTATAGATTATAAATAAGATCTTATAATTAGGATAAGAGGTAGCATATAAAGTTCATCACAGACTCAGTCCCATAGATTTGGATGAACATCGAAAACCAACTTTGTTTAACCTGACGATCTAACTTCACACCTGTCCTGTGGAAATATATGCTTTCATCTAACGATCTAACTCCTTTTATTTGTCATTCTAGAAGAATCTAACTTTAATTTAAAAAGAAATAAGGCATCATATGCTTTCTATATAGTCAAGAAACCAATAAAAAATAAAATATCGTAACTAAAATGTGGATAATAATAAAATTTCATTTATCCTCGGCGTGCTAAATGAAAATAAATTAATTTGAGTCCTAATTCATTCCAAATTAAAACTCTGCACTTCTTGCGATGTCACCCTCTCCGCGTCAGCAGTCTCTTAATCGTAAAAGTGATATCTGAATGAATCTACTTTTTACAGAAATAAAAAGGCACTTTTAGTGCTCATCCTAATGAGATTATATAATGTTTATCAAATTTTAACTATTCAAATTTAATATAGATAGCTAAGATTTAATATTTAATATTTTTTTTCAATGATATTTTTTTAATAGGTACATAATCCAAAATAAATGTAATATCTTAATTATAAAATTTTTTAAAAAATAATTTTTTATTTAAAAATTATTAGCTGAAAATTTTAAATCTACACTATTAAAACTAATTTTGAATGGTTTAGATTTTAACAGAGTGATGAATGTTATGGTGCTCATCATGAACACTAAAAGTGGTTCCAAAGTATTTCTTTCGTTCGTCTGTTTCCTTATCTGTCCAATTATACCACACGTCCAAACATCTCTCGTCAAAATAAGAAAGTATGAAGCGAGGATAAAAGAACAAAGAATGCACTCGAGGAGGAATATACAGCAACATGTATTCCATCAACCTAATGATCGTTCAGCTAATAACTAATAACCATGGTTGGTTAGCGTTTACAGAGATGGAATCGGAAATTAGATGTGACTATACATGAATTAAGAAAAAACGATACCACGAAGCTTCGTGTTGAAGAAAGGAACAGTATAGATTCTCATAAGTGCATCTATAAGACGCAGACGAAGCAAGCGAGAGAAGGCATCGATCGATCAAAGCCATAAAAAAGGAAAAATCAAAGTATTGTATCAGTGAGAAACTCCATCAGTGAGATCAAATGGAATCGGAGCTGATGATGATGAGAAGGCTTCTGGGGATGATGCGGGAAAATGAAGCTCAGGCTCAGGCCAGCAGATCAGCCGGCGGCTACAACAGCGGAACCCAAGGCTCATTCCACAACAGCGGGGCAGGCTCTCAAAATTTCAGAGACGTCAACTACAACAGCGGCTCTTATTCCGGCAACCGTTACGATTCTCCTGAGTACTACAACGCCCCCGGCGGCAACTTTGTTCACAACAGTGGCACTACATATGGCAACGGCAACGGAAGCATTGTGAACAATGGAAGCCCTGTTCCTTCCAAGAGAAACCCATATTGGTGATTTATCTCCATAATCATATATACGTGTGTGTTGTTATTCAGTATTAAGGAATAATCAATAGTTGGCAGAAAAAATTAAGGAATAATTGATAAGAACTGTGTGATATATATAATAGAAAGGGCGGTGCAGCTGCGAGCTAGCCCTTTAATTGCTGGTTTGCTTTTTAAGTATGGTGTGTATAAGACATGAAATCAGGAGGTTCTTCATATCCTCCTCTTTCATGTTATTATTATTAATAATAATATATAGTTTCAGTTAAGGCTTCTTCAATTGTTTCTGTACTGCCAAGTTCTGGAGTTGCGTACATGAGAACTCAGTCTGGTGCATGTGATGATGTGAAGGTTCAATATTTTAGGGAAATTATGACTGACTTACTAAAATGATCAGATGGATCATATACAACTCTGTCAAGCATGGACGCGGAATGTCCTTATTATGGTTGGATAGGTATCAGTTTCAGTGTTTATCGTAGTGATGGGATCATGATACTTATCAAATTTCAATCATTCAAATTTAATATAAATGGTCAAGATTTAGTATTTAATTTTTTTCAAAAAATATTTTTTTAATAAGTACATAATTCAAAATAAATATAATATCTTAACTGTAAGGTTTTTTAAAAAAATAAATGTTTTATTTAAAAATTAATAGTTAAAAATTTTAAATCTACACCATTAAAACTGATTTCGAATTGTTGCGATTTCACGATGAGTGTTATAATGCTCATCACTGCAATGAGTATCGAATGTCGTTTCGGTTGGTACTTTTGCTTAATATAAGTATTAATAATTATTAAGAATATCTTATCTCCAAAATTTAGTAAATAATTAAATTTAATGCCAATAAGAGGTTTTGCTGCAAACTCGCAACTGTTCCTACCATGGCAAAGTTGATTAGAATTATACATGGTCTCAAATTGTGTTGGTTTAAATATTATAGAAGCTGAAAATAGGTTACTTGTCCGTAGAGAAATTGGCACATTAAATTTAATCATGTGCATGGGGAAGCCGTTCCTTTTGCACAAGTTAGCAAAACTTTCCCATGGAATAGCTGGAAATTTTTGTATCATTGATTACCTTCAATCCCTCAAACAAGAAGCAGCAAAGAAAACTAGGTTTCTTCGACTCCTTGATGTACTTTACTTTCGAACTAATGAATTTCAGTTCATATTAAAAGAATCAATAAGAAGTGAATCTTGGTAAAAGGCTATATATAATCACTTAAACACAGTGTCTCAAATTCAAGTTCATATGAATACAAAAGGAGCATTTAAGAAAATTACCTCTATATACGCTTGACGACATCCATATGAATGTAAAATAAGCTTTTGGCAAAACCTATATCTCTATTATTGGCTTCCATAATACTTGAATCTCACCCAATAATATTACATATCATATATTTAATAAAAAAGTAAATTAATATAATGCCCAAAAAAATTAAATGATATAATATTACTGTAATAAATAAATATAACTTTCTTAATATAGAAAGCAAGTATAGTTCATAATTTAGACATATGGATCAATTATAAATTGAAAACTGTTGTAAATTCCCCCTAATTTATTCTTTTTTTTTTTGCCAGCCCCCCTAATTAATTCAGATACATTAATTAAACAAGCCAATTTAATTAAATCGACCATATCTAAGGAATATATATTACCTAGTTATATTGGCTATTTCCTTCACTTGATTCATGCACAGGACCCCGGGAGATACAAAACGAGAAACCATAAAAATTATCTCCATTTAATATTGCGATTTTTGAACGAAATGCACGAACAATCAGAAAATATATTTTCAATCAATTTTCAAACTTTGCATTTTTTACATGTCGTAGTTTTGAACTTTGTGCAAAAGGCATTAGTTGCGCTCTGATTACTTTTAAATTGTAATGTTAAGATTTGGAAAATACAGGTATTGCAACGAGTAAAATGGAAAAGGTTACCAAAAACCGGGAAGATGCATGTAGAAAAGATAAAAAATGAAATTAAAAAAATATATATATACTTCTGTTAACTCCAAGAAATTCATATATTTTTTTATCACATTTTCCTCCTTAACTTCCTGTTTTAAGAGTTAAATTATGCATAGAAATAGAGCCATTAAGGAAAATGTGTTTAGTTTAGCTTTTTGGAACACTCTTGCGATAATTGTGATTATTTGGAGTTGTTTAGAACTTACACATTTCTCCTTTAAGTAGGAGAATGGAGACCAGCGTTTTCAAGCTATGTAAGACACCCTTGAAGACTAGATTAGCTGGAAGGAAGCATGGAAGAGCTCTGAAGACTAATACAAAAAACTCTCATTTTCTAATATATTTGTTGTTGGTTTGCCACAGCCATTGCTATAGCGAATGCAAGGAAAATGAGAACTGAGAGGGGTGAAATTTGTGGCTATTCGCTGTTGATTCACCACGGCCAATCCACAGCGAATGAAAAACATCTGCTGCTATGCGTTTCAATTACTGATATGCTGTTAGGGTTAAATGGAAGGAGAAACGCGATGATTGGGGCATTCTGGACTGTTGGGGCTATCTTGGGAGAACTTTGGTGTGCGAGGCCAAGGATTTTGGTGCAGATTGAGTTGGGATTTGAAGATTGGAAGAGATTTTCGCTTCACATCTTGGTTCTTCTCCAGTCTCCTTTTCCTTCCTCTTGTTCAATGTTTCTGCTGATTATATGTATTCTCTCATGGGAGTTCTGAACACGTGTGGCTAAAGCTTTGAATCTAGGATTATTTTGAACGCTTGTATAGATTAACTCTTGATTCCTCCTCTCATTTGTGATTAATGATGTGTGTGTGTGTGTGTGTTATTTTATCCCTTGCTTAATGCTTCTAAGTGCTTGATAACCATTTAGATGTTTTGTTCATTTGAGTGATGCTTGAGAGGGCTAGCTTAAGTGTAGAATTTGGATAAAATTGTGTAGGAACTTAAAGTTTGCTTGTTGAATGGATGGTTTTGTTAGTAAGATAGAGATATACTTCCTAACCTTACATATTCACCTTAGCATTAGAGCTTAAAATTTGGTTTTATTAATTGTAACAAGAGACTGAGCAATTAATAGAATTAGACTTGTTCTTAACCTGAGAAAGCTTTTACAAGTACATTTTGAATCCTAGAACACATATTTTCATTAAAAGCTTTTATGAGAGGAGGTGAAATTGAATGTTATTAAATACAAGGGGGATAATAATTCTAGATCCCAATTTATCCTTGAAGTCCAAGAATCATTTGTTTTTATTAATTTTTTATTTTTAAAAGTGGTTTTTTTCATTCTTGATATATTTCTATCACTCAAATTAAGTGAAAGTGTGGTAATTAATACTTGACTGGGTTTTGAAACCAAATCCTTATCAGAACGATACTTTACTTGTCACTTCATTACTTGTGATGACCCATGCACTTGCAGTGCAAACAACTACCTCCAGTTCTAAGTATAAGACTTCGTTTATTTTACAAATGAGATCTTATAATTAGAATCAGAGGTAGTATATATATATAAATATATATAAAAGAAAATCTTTGAAAGCTATGCATGTGGGCATATCATGTGTGTGATTTGGAGCCTTTATATTGAATAAGATGGTGAGGAACTTTTCCATTAAATTAAAAAAAAAATTAGAAATTGGACGACCAGACCTCGATCTATTTGCTGTTGCAGAAATTAAAAATACTCCCTTCCCGCCTCCACTAGAGTCGAAATCAGGTTCTAAATAATGGAAAAGCAATATTTATTCTCGCCACTAACATTGGAAGCAAACAGCATAAAGCACATGCAGTGGTTATCGTTCCCTCAATGTTGGCACGCCACTTGCAACTTTTCACTTCTGCTCATATTCCTCCTGGCCACCAGATCCCACCTCTCAGATATTTGCATCTTTGCCTTACGAATTATAGTTATACTAATTGAGTAAAGGTTGATTCCATCAACTACCAAAGTCATCGGTGTGAATCTCACTACTAAAATGAGACTTTATCAGTTTATAATTTTTATCTGATCTTTACTCTAACTCTGATGAGCTCTCAAAAGTCAACTCACCTAATTTTTTTTTAAATAGAATGAATTAAACATGCCGAAAGTCATCACACACGGCATATAGAATTAACTAATGATAATATATTATGGGGTAACTGATAGAATAGCTGATGCCATTAATGATAGAACTATGTTCTTGTTTATAAATCACTTGTAAAGAAAAAGTTTGTCTCTAAATGTAAGTCACTTGTAGGGTAATTAATGAGTTTTTTTCCCCTAGTTTTACCCATGTTGAATTAATAAATCTAGAAAGAGATAAAGTAAATAGGTAAGGGAAAATATAAAACATATTTTTAATGCCCTTTAATTTCTTTAATAAGGGCAAATGTAAAAAAAAAAAAAGAATTTAAAGCATTCTTTCATGGTTTGCTTTGCTGGCTTGGACGACATGTGACTCATAAATGTGAATAGAATCGTACAAAATATAGCTTGGTGTTGAAGCCAGAAAATAGCATAAATTCTTCTTTTTTGCGTCTATAAAACGCAGGCTAGCTAATATCAAGCGACACAAACATTAAAGCCAGCCAAAAATTAAAACATATATTGATCTTGAAGCTCTAATTATCAGATCAGTAAGATCAAATGGAATCGGTGCTTCCGGTGAGAAGGCTTCTTGGTGGCCTGCTGGGAAATAACGACGCTCAGGCTCAACGAGCAAGTAGATCATCGGCCGGAGGCCACAACAGTGGAACTCAAGGCTCATTCAACAACAACGGATCTGGCTCTCAAAATTTAGGAGACGTTAACTACAACAGCGGCGCTTATTCCGGCAACGGCAACACATATCATCGCTCCGACTACCATGGCGGTAGTTTGATCCATAACAGTGGCACGACGCAAGGCAACGGTAATGGATCTATTGTCCTTGGAGGCTTTGATTCTTCCACCAGATCCTGAGAACTTGGCTACAAATTATTATAAACTAATGTACGTGTACTTTGTACTCCTGATCGAGGAGGCTCTTCAGTTAGCTAGCCTCTTCTTTCATCTCATGAATAAGGAACTCTTGCATGTTTTATATTATTCCTCTGGTCCTTAATATAAAACCCATTTAACTAATTTGATTAGATTAAGGAAGTTAGGTAAGTTAGTTAATTATAAGAAAAGTGACACATTTTTCCTAAAACACCATAATCATTTTTCTTAATACCCCCTCTCTCTTTTCTACTTGATTATAGTTGAGAGAGTATCCACAGGGGTAATTTAGAGAAAATTGATAAATATGAGAAATGGGTCTTATATTTAAAATCAAAACCAATTCAAGAATTGGGTCCTATATTAAGAACCGGAGGAGTATAATACTTGTTGTTTAGAGTATTAATATTTTTCTACCTAAAATCGCTAAGTAATTATAAAACTTTCTAATTAACCAACCAAAATTCTCTAATCAATCACTTTTTTTTTTTACACCAATGGGGCATTAGTCCAACAAAAAATACCTAAATCAATCTGACTAATGTATGCTTTGTAGTCCAGCTGAGCTTCTTCAGCCAGCCTCTTCTTTCATGTAATTAATGCATACTATCATCAAGGATTCAAATGATTAAGGGGTGTGTGTGTAATCCAACGTTTTAGAACCGCCTTGGTGCATGAAATCTCAGTCTTACGCGTGTCATTTACGGGTAAATTGGTCTGTACCAGAATATAATAAGTTTCATGTCAGCTAATTAGAAGATAAATTGAAATTGAAGTCCAGATAAGACCAGTCAAATTGGGCTGAACTATTTTGATAGAAAATGTAACTGTTTCAGATCCTCTATTCTCTTAAAACAAATGGGACATTGACCCAACACACAACTGGCGGAGGAGTATTCATGTAATGTCACGAAAGGAAAAGATTTTTATTATGTAAATTAGAGAGGTACAGGAACCTCGTATCATTACAAACTAACAACTTTCTTCATCAAGATTCATGTTCCTTAAACTAAAGCATAATTATTCATAAAGGATTATTATTAAGACTTTAGAAGAAGGGGCTGGAGATCAGCAATTACTGAATTGGTCTTAATTAATTCCTGCCGACCCTGGTCGAGGTGTCAAAGGAACCGAAGATGATGGAACCATTTCCGTTGCCGGTGGTATGGCCAGTATTGTTTATAAGACCTTTCATGTTCTGTGTGCCGGTGTTGCTGAACGTGGCCGGGGGAGAGTTCGGGCCTGGAGGTGCTGCTGCGACTGGGCTTCTCTGAGGAACGGCAGCGCTGGGGACGTTGGTGCCGTGCTGGGGATGTGTTTCCACCGGAACCGGTTGCTGATCAAGGAGTCCGAACCAGCGGATCAAATCCTCCATATTGGCCATCTCGCTCGGGTCTATCTCTTCCACCTTCAAACTTTTTTTGCTGTGTAATTATCTGCCTTCTTTCATATATATATATATATAGATACACACTTATATGTAATTGTAAGAGTGAAGGAATATATGCTTCGTGATAGTGGGCACAGCAAATTGGGGGACTAACAAAATTCTCTGCAATAATATAATTAATTTAGTTAGAGCACCAAATGTAGGCCCCACAGGCTAGGCCCCACATAGGATTCGAGTTAATCCTATGTAACTTTATATGTATTGTTCGTCGTTGATTTTTTTAATGAAAAGCATTACATGCAAAGAAGATACAGAATTTTCTTTTAAACAACGATTGGTTCAATATATACTATTTTTTATCTTTAGTATAAGAGCTAGTTTGACTTTTAATTTGATCATAAATATAAAACCCAATCTATTTTGTCTCTCATGTTTGTTTATTTTTTTCAAATAGTTCTTGTAATAGTTGCACATGTTAAAGATTATATCAAATAGTAGTTCTAACTAATACACATGACCAATAAGGATATTTTAGAAAAGACAACACCTATTTGTTACAAATATTTAACTAATTCAACAAACTTTCTTAATTTACTCAAATTAGTCAACTAGCTCTTCTAGTAAGGACCCGAGGTAGCATTTTTTTATCTATGTTTTTTAAGGGCCTCTCTTAACAATATGATTAATCATAACAACAAATTATCTAATAGAGATTGCAAAATTAAGACATGCGATCAAGTCACTTTTTATATGTTGAAATCTTCGTTCAAAATGCATTAATATTATCTCTTGTTTTGTTTAATGTGTTGTATTTCTCTAATCCTTAATGTAAGACCTATTTAACTAATTTGATTATTAAAAAAGTTAAATAAGTTGGTTAATTACAAAAAAAATGACATTTTTTTTAAAATATCATAATCATCTTTTTTAATATCGTTCCTCCCTCTTCTACTTGACTATGGTTGAGAGAATATCAATATGAGTAATTTAGAAAAAATTCATAAATATGAGAAATATGCCTTATATTTAGAACCAAAGTCAACTCAACAATTAAGTTCTACATCAAGGGGTGGAGGAGTATTATACAAGTTCGGTAAAACGCATTAGACATTCTGAATCTCAAAGAATTTGTGCGCGCACGCCCCCGCGCACACACACACACACATATTTATTAAGTCTTGGTGAGTAAATGAATTTGAAGGATTAAGTGTGAGTTAAGGAGTAGAAAAAAGCCTAATTTTTGTAAATTAAATATGGATAAAATATAAATAATAAGAACCTATAAAGTTGATTCAGAGATGACATGAAATGTCATTCAATAAAAAGTTCCGTTGTTTAATTTTGGCCACAACAATCCCAGTCAACCAGTCGAAAGTATATGTCACAAATATGCCTTATGAGCTGTTGGTTTCAGTTTAGGTACTCGATGCTCTTTTTTCGTTTTTTTGTTTTTCTGTGTGTGATTTTCTTTAGCCCTTATAGATTTATTGATTCTTGGTTGATATTGATCATGTTCAAATTATGTAACTTTCCCGTATTAAGAAATTTGACTTTAAAAAATAAAAGAAATTAAACGTAAAAGCAATATATATACGGTAGAAGTTTTACAAAGACAAACTACATCCAAAAACTGAAAATTATGCATTTACTGGAAGAACGGTTGAGCCTGTCGTTGGAATAACACGTTTTCGAATGTGGTGTGTATGTAACATAAAAGGAAGTTTTGTTAGTTAATGTTTTATAATTGAGTAATATATATAGGGTTAAAGTGCATCTGACATTATAAATTATTTTTTGTGTATCCAGCACCTCAAAGTGTTTTTTTAGATGCATCTAACAACCAAAAATATTTTTTGGTGCATTCAACACCAAAGCAAAACAAATACTTCAGGGCACTAGACGTACCTAAAAATACTTCGAGTTGCTGGATGCATCACAAAATATTTCAAAGTATTAGATGCATCATAAAATACTTCGAAGTATTGAATGCACCCGAGAAAATACTACAGGGTGCTAGATGTATCTTAACCCATATATATAATTACTTCTATATTTAGTTTTTTTTTTTGGCACATTCACATCTAAGTATCTCTGGGGCTACTATAGCTACTACGATTAATGCAAACTGATTTTTTTTTTTTTGTATGACTATCTCATTGGATGAGATTCAAATATTACTGAGCCTCGTTGGAGGAAGCTCTTCCAACTATAGATGTTTTTTGCATTTACACGGACTTAAAAGTCTAAACATTGTACTTAACCAGCCAAAGCTCCTTGCATCAGGACCAACACCAGTTAGTTTCAAATTGGAAGTTCTCACTGGTGTTTGGACGGACCTACGCTTAAAAATGTGTTCTGTCCAAGATTTCGACCCCTAATGGTATTGCAGATATAGTAATTTGTTATGATCAGGGTTCAATCCGGTAGATTTGGATGAACCTAAAAAAGCAAGTTTCTTCAATTTTATTCAAAGACGAAAGGTACTGCACTATATCCTATCCATACAACATGCCTCATTAAGCGAATCAATGCGCGGGAGAAATTAAAGAATCCTCCTATCCATCCCTATTACTATATCAGATCCTTCACACACCTGCCTTGTTGAAATATATGCTTTCATTTAACGATCCAACTTCGTTCTTCTATTTGTCAACAAGAATTTAACTTTTTGAAAAATGAAATTAGGCATCATACGCTTTTATGGAGTGTGGATGAGAATCATTTATTATCGGTGCTAAAGGAAAAGAAAGAAATTTGAGCCCTAATTTATTCCACATTAAAACTTTACACTTCCAAATTTTGTGATGAGTGTGACTGACCCATAGCAATATGTCACCCTCTACGTCAGCAGTGGCCACATGCAGCGATACCTATAAGTGTTGTTTAAAAAATAAATTATTACTTTTTAAACTAGATCTTGTACTAAAAACTGAAAATACATATATATATTATAGCTATACAAGAAAAGAAAAAATATAAAGGAAGAAAGAAAAATATGGATGACTCGCCTACCAATTTCCAAACTTTTATCTGCTCCCTCTCGTTGCCACATGTCTTAATTATTTATGCTTCCGTCAAAAATGTTCTTATTCTTTGTTTCTTTTGTCCAAACCTCTCTCCTCAAAATAAGAAAGTATCAAGTGAAAGTAAGAGAATGAAAAAAGGGCAGCCAGGAGAAGGAAAACGGGTCGAATGCATGGTTGGCCAATTTTGTAATTTTATAATGAATTCCACACACGACACTCACATATTCCATCAACTAGCCGTAGTTGGGTAGCGACTGGAGAAAAGATATATACCATAAAGCTTCGTGTTGAAGGAAGGAAACGGTACAGATTCTGATTAGTGCATCTATAAAACGCAGGCGAAGCAAGCGAGACGATCAAAGCCATCGGAAAAACAAAGAAACTGCATATCAGGTAATCAGTGAGATCAAATGGCGTCGGATCTTGAGACGATGAGAAGGCTTCTGGCGATGATGCAGGGAAACGAAGCTCAGGCCCAAGCCAGCAGAGCATCCGGCGGCTACAATTGTGGAACTCAAGGCTCATTCAATAACAGCGGAGGAGGCTCTCAGAATTTCAGAGACGTCAACTACAACAGCGGCTCTTATTCCGGCAACCGTTACAATTCTCCTTACTACCACAACAACGGCGGCAACTTTGTTCACAACAGCGGCACTACGTACGGCGACGGCAACGGAAGCATTGTGAACAATGGACGCTAATGAACTCATGATGGTGATCTATCTATCTATCTATATTAAGGGAACAATCAATAAGAACTGTATGATCATAGCAAGGATAATGCTAGCTGCTGGCTAGTATTAGCCCTTTAATTACTATGGTTTGATCCTTAATTATTATATATAGTTTGTGCGCGGTATGTAATCAGGAGGCTATTCATCATGATGATCCTCCTCTAAATAAAAATATCGTTTCAGTTAAGGTTTCAATTGTTTAGAGGGCCCTCTGCTGCAAGTTTCAGAGTGCATGAGATCGATCAGTTTCATGCATGTGACGTGAAGGATCTCAATAGGGAAAACTTCATGAGCAAAATGACCAGATATGGTATGCTGGAAACGCGTGCTTAGTATGATGAGTAATTAACAGTTATTAAAAATATTACCTTCAATATCTAGTAAATTAAATTAATACCAATAAGAGGTTCATCCTAATTAGCGAAAGAGAGGCTATGGCGACTTATACACACAATGTCACAAGCTCGAATGCATATGAATACAAATAATACTTTTACACTGCGTTTAGTATGAGGGGAATGGAAGGAAGGGGAGAGAAGAAATTTTTTTTTAATACACTTGATTTATAAAATTAAAGAAGTGGGGTTATAAAATTTTAATAAAGAGAATATGTGAAATAAAAGATTAATAAACTTCAATTAAAGTTTTTAACTCTACTTCTGTAATTTTTTAAATCGAGCTTATTAAAATTTTTACTCCCATCTCCTTTCTTTTATTTCCTTCATACCAAATAGACCTTTAAGTGAGCTCTCCCCGTTTGAGTTTGTTAGCATCTGCATGAATGCAAATTAACATTTACCATTATCTATGAGAAGCAATATTTATTCTTTTTACTTGGGCAAAATACTTTAGACATAAATTAAATTGCAAATATATAGAATGATTATCATTCCCTCAATATTAGTACGCAATTTGCAACTCATATCTTATAAAGATATGGGTTTGAATCTTACTAGTAATATAAAACGATTTTTTCTGCTAAAATTTTGAAGACATTATGCTATCATCACAATAAATAAATATAACTTCCTTAATATATAGAAGAAAGTGGGGGTTATAATTTAGAAATAGGCATCAATTATAAATTGAAAATTGTTACTACAAGTTCATTTAATTTACTTCAGATTTTTTTTTTTTACAACAAACTGGCCAATTTAATCATATCAACCATATCTAATATAATTGGATTTTGACTTTTGTAACTGGCGGTTTATTGCTCGAGGAATGAAACTAAGTCCCATGATGATGATCCTTTAATTTTCTTGGTCAAATTGGATTAGATTTTGGGGGTTAATACATGCACATATGCTAGTCAAGAGACGAGATCAAAATAGCGAAGTTTGTAAATTTTAATTTCTAAAACATAAGGACTGAAATTTGAAATGGTTAAACTGTAGGTAATAACTGAAAAGAAATTAATTTGAGCCCGAATTTATACCAAATTAAATCCTTACACTTACCACGATGTAATTTTTGCGAGTGGGACGGACCTCATAGCTATATATGTCACCCTCTGCGTCAGGCTTAATTGCAAATGTGATACTGCAAGCTAAGAACGAATCTACTTCTTACGGAAGAAAAGACAACGTATTAATACATATGGTCATAAACCAATATGTTACCCACAAATTTCAGCTATAAAACTGAAAAGCGATGTAGCTAATAATCTTTTTTTTTATCCTTGCAAAATGATATGAAAGACATCATGGATATATATATATACACACACGCCTGCTGGTTGTTTTCCCTTGCGTCACTCTCTGCTTAGCATGCTTCTAATCTCAGTGAGCACGTCTTCATCTTCGTGAGAAGCTGGGGTTTCCATTTTAATCAGCTGAATGGCCTCACTAGAATCGCTTCTGAGAATATGCTTCTAAAGCCTCTCTCCCAATGCCTTTTCAATCCACCAATGAGGCAGCCCCAAAGTTCTGCTGTAACATTGTGGCCTTCCTCAATTCTATGGAGAAAGCCTTCCACCACCAGGTTAACTAGTCTTGCCTTTGTGGATGCCTCCTCAAGCCGCTCTATTGGTGGTGTCAGAGAATGCCTCATTTGTTTCGTTATTTTTCCAAACCTCTCTCGTCAAATAAAAAAGGATTAATTAAGAGAGTAAAAGAGTGAAAAAAGCAGGCAGAGCAGGAATATACAGCAAAACGTGTCGCATGTTCGGCCAGTCGTGTAAAAATTTTATAATGAATTCCACACACTACAGGAACACATATTCCATCAACCTATAGTCCTCGTTTAACTAATAACTATATAGTACCTCTGATATTTAATATAAGACCTCATTAGATTTTTATTTTGATTCTAAATATAAGACCCCTCTCATATTTATTCATTTTTGTCAAGATAATCTTTCTAATTATGGTAGTTCTAACAAATAAACTTGATTAGTAAGGATATTTTAGGAAAGACAATACATTTATTATAAACAACTAAACTTATTTTTTTAATCTACTTAAATTAGTCAACTAGTTCTTATATTTAGGATCGAAAGGAAGTAGTAGTTGGGTAGAAATTAGCTAAAGGAATGGAATCGGAAATATGACTATACATGCATTAAGAAAAAAAGATACCACAAAGCTTGGCGTTGAAGGAAGGAGACAGTACAGATTCTGGTTATTGCATCTATAAAACGCAGGCCAAGCAAGCGAGACGAGACACCGATCGATCAAAGCCAGAAAAGAATCAAAGTAATAATATTATATCAGTGATCGAGGAACTCTATCGCCGGTGAGATCAAATGGAATCGGAGCTGATGATGATGAGAAGGCTTCTCGGGATGATGCCGGGAAACGAGGCTCAAGCCCAGGCAAGCAGGTCGGCCGGAGGCTACAACAGTGGAACTCAGGGCTCATTCAATAACAGCGGAGCAGGCTCTCAAAATTTCAGAGACGTTAACTACAACAGCGGCGCTTACTCCGGCAACCGTTACAATTCTCCTCACTACCACAACGATGGCGGCAATTTTGTTCACAACAGTGGCACTACATATGGCAACGGCAACGGCTGCATTGTGAACAATGGACGCTAATCAACTCATAACGGTGATCTATCTATCTATCTGTATTAACGAATAATCATTAAGAACTATATATATATGATCATAGCTAGAAAGGGCGATGACTCTAGCTAGCCCTTTAATAACCGGTTTACCCCTTAATTATAGCGTGTGCGCCACATGTAATCTGGAGGTTCTTCATCCTCCTCTTCCATGTTATTGTTACTAATAAGATATATCGTTTCAGTTAAGAGGTTCAATTGTTTAAGGGTCTCTCTTCTGCCAGGTTTCGGAGTTGCATCAGTATAACTTAATTAATAAAAAGATCATATAATACTTTTGTTGCTTAATGCCAATGAGTTGATCTCCGAGTAAAAACTTCTATGACTACTTAAACACAAAGTTTCAAGTTTAAATTTATCTTAATACAAAACCTATACTGCCTTTGATCCTTAATATAAAACCTAGAATGATTTAATTTGGTCCTAATATACTTGTTGTTTAGAGTACTAATATTTTTCTGGCCAATATCACTAAATAATTATAGAAATTTCTAATTAATTAACCAAAATTCTCTAATTAATCACTTTTTTTTTAACAAATGGGGCATTAACCCAACACACAACTAGCGGAGGAGTATTCAAATAATATCACGAAAAGAAAAGATTTTTATTACAAAAAATAGAGAGGTACAGGAACCCCGTATTCATTACAGACTATCAACTTTGTTGATCAAGATTCATGTTCCTTAAACTGAAGCATAGTTATTCATAAAGGATTATTATTAAGGCTTTAGAAGGAGCTAAGGGGCTGGAGATCATTAATTACTGAATTGCTCTTAATTAATTCCTGCCGATACTGGTCGAAGTGTCAAAGGAACCGAAGATAATGGAACCATTTCCGTTGCCGGTGCCGGTGTTGCTTGTTGAGCGTGGCCGGAGGAAAGTTCGGTCCCGGAGGTGCTGCGGTGACGGGGCTTCCCTGAGGAACGGCAGCGCCGGCGAGGTTGGCTCCATGCTGGGGATGCGTTTCCACTGGAACTGGTTGCTGATCAAGGAGTCTGAACCAGCGTATCAAATCCTCCTTATTGGCCATCTAGCTGGGGTCAATCTCTTCCGCCTTCAAACTTTTTTTTTGCTGTGTAATTGTTTGCCTTCTCTCATATAGTTTGATAGGATATATACACACACACTACCTCCAGTCCTTTATGTATATAATAATATGAAAATTAGTTTCACTTTCAATTTAGTCCTAAATATAAGATCCCAATCTATTTTGTCTCTCATATTTATGCATATTTTTCTAAGCTGGTCATTGTAAAAGTTGCACATATAAAATATTTTATTAAATATTAGCTTTATTAACACACATTATTAGTAAGGGTATTTTAGGAAAGACAATATCTATTTATTATAAATAACTAACTTAACTAATTTTTTAATCTACTCAAATTAGTTAATTAGCTCTTATATTAAGAACAAGGTAGGTAATATATATATAATTGTAACCATGAAGGAATATATGCATCGTCATAGTGGGCACAGAAAATTGGGGGGGCTAACAAAATTCTCTGCAATAATATAATTAATTTAGTTGGAACTCCACATGTAGAAAGAGGCCAGGACATGGGATTCGAGTTAATCCTATGTATATATTGTTTGTTATTGATTTTTTAACAAAAGCATTACACGTGAAGAAGATATAAAATTTTCTTTTAAAGAATGATTTTTTCAATATACATTTATTATCTATGTTTTTTAAGGGTCTCTTTTAAAAATATAATTAATCATAACAACAAATTACTCCTCCGGTCCTTAATATAAGATCTATTTAACTAATTTGACTAGATTAAGGAAGTTAAGTAAGTCATTTAATTATAAAAAAAGTGACACATTTTTACTAAAACACCATAATCACCTTTCTTAATACCCCCTCTCCCTCTTCTACTTGATTATAGTTGACGGAGTATCTATAGAGGTAATTTAGAGAAAATTGATAAATATGAGAAATGAGTCTTATATTTATGACTAAAACCAACTCAAGAATTGGGTCTTATATTAATGACCGGAGGAGTATCCAATAGAGATTGCAAAATTAAAACATACTATCAAGTCGCTTCTTATATGTTGAAATCTTCGTTCAAAATGCATTTTCATACTCTTGTTTGATGTGTTCCATTAAACAAGTTCAG